ATCTACCATGCATTTTTCTTGTTTGCACCGGGTCATTGTTTCACCTGGGCTGCCAGAAATGATTTTTTTTTGTAGCCTAAGGAAAGGAAAACAATAATCTATGCTGGGATGATACTAGAACCTTTCAAAAAGGCAAGGGCAAGGCTTCACCTTCCAGGAATATTTTGTAACTGTATACAGAGCCAAAGGAGAGGTCCAGTTCTTCTTTGTCACCACAAGTACCACTGCTTGTACAGATAGAGGTTATGAAAACCAATCTCATAAAATAAAAAGGTTCTTCTGATCCCAACGGACCACCCACATTCCCAGGTCAATTTATAACTTAGAATCCTACCCTGAAAAGCATGCAATTGCCTGTCCTTTAGAGTCTACAATCTAAAGCTTTATTGAAAGAAAGAAAGAAAGAAAGAAAGAAAGAAAGAAAGAAAGAAAGAAAGAAAGAAAGAAAGAAAGAAAGAAAGAAAGAAAGAGAACTGGTTAAAGGCATTAAATATATACAACAATTGCAAGTTCTTGATTCAGACTTGTAGCAGTCCTTTGTTTAGAGCAGGGGTGGGATTGGGGAACCTACAGCCTATAGGCCAGATCCAGGCTCTGGCTTACTTGGATGTGACCCATGGCAAATCTCCAGGTTTCAGCATTTCTCCTCCCACCTTATGGGGCTGGTGTGTGAGTGGCATCTCTGGTATGACAAGGCAACTCTATGTTACTATCAGATCAGACCAATGGTCCATCCCATCCAGTATCCTCTCTCTGACAGTTGCTAGTTTCAAAGTCTTCTTACAAAACTTGAATCCCTTCAAATTAGGAAATAATGTGCTAACAGTTCAAGGAGGAAGATTCTTCCTGCCCACAGGGATTTAATGGATGGGATTGAATGGCTAGACACATGAGGGTTAATAGCTAATCTTCATCCCAGCTAGAGGCTCAGACTGGGCAGTGGTAGTGCTTGGGAATGATATGGACTGATAATATACATAGCCCTCATCTGGATACTAGCTCTGATAGGATAGCTTACCTAGTGTACTGTCTCTGTATTGTTACCTAGCACTTACCTAGGTATCAGGCCTGACTCATCATTGGTCTCTGAAACAAAATATTGTTATATTTTTGTGTTGTTTGATTTGAAGACAAAACTAAATCCAATTTATGTGTGATGCCACCTAGTGAAATGTATCAGCCCTTGGAAGGCATTTAAAGCTGTTGAATTGACATTGCTTTCTGTAGCCATGGGATACTCGGCTGGAACTGAGCTACTACACAAGCCCAACAAACAGAAGACAGAAAGTCCCTTTGTGTTTCCACTTCTGGCCTGAGTATTACATTCCAGAATGGGCACTGGATAAGCCATGTGGCTTAAGCAGCGTCGAAGTGCAGGCTGGCCTGGATGCCAAGGGAACAGAGGTTAGTTGCCTATTTCCCACACATCTATTTTATGCTTCTTTGTGCAGTATCTTTCCCCTCTTTGACCTTTAGAAGAGAGTCTGGGAATTGGGGTTTTATTTTGTTTTCCTGGATCCTTAATTGAATATTTAGAAGATGGAAACTAAAGGTTGCACCAGATAAATATTTCACTGTAGAACTGTTATTGAAAATGACAGAAAATGTTTGTCCTGCTAACCCAAAACATAGATATTTTACAAAGCTGGGATCCCATTTTGTAACTACAGGATTTCCAAGCTCTGTGATAACCCAGCTTAGTCTGGTGAGACCAACCTTTGTTAAAATGTTGATACCAAAACATTCTAAACCCCAGTAAGGACAAAAGGTCTGACTGGAAATAGTCAACATAGCAAGAGCTCAGGAATCTTAAAAGATGGGTGGGATAAAAAACATCAATAAAATCCTCTTCTGTGTGGATCTTTAATGTGAACACCTGCTCCCTCTATTTTGTCTCAGATGAAAGCAAAATACTGAAGACTGCTGGGAAGTTTATGCATAGTATAAGACAAGTGCTACAAAGTGGTAAAGCTCTGATACAGGTTGAACCTCTCTAGTCTGGCATCCTGGAGACCTGACTGGTGCTGAACCAGAGAATTTGCTGGACCATGGGAGGTCAACACTGTCTAGCAGCATTGCTAATACTTCCACTACTTATTGGGGTCTGAGAAGACAGTTAGGGGTAAATTAGAGCTGAATTTCAGCACAGAGCACTGAGAGCCAGGACTGGTGGCTATAAACAAACTTGGCCACACCCATGATAATTGGACATACAGCTAACTAAAACCATGCCAGTTCAGGGATTGCTGGACCAGAGAGGTTCAACCTGTATTAATTTTTCAAAGATCAGGGAATGAATACTTACTATTTGAAGAGCCAAGGAAACTGGTCCAGTCACTAAGGAAGGACACTGTGTCCCAAACACTTTACTATCCTAGGGACTTCTCCCTCAGTTCAGTTGCATGACTAATACAGGCTAACCTCTGATCTCTCCAACTTTTTCTTTGTGGTTGTATCACTAGTCAGGAATGACCACTCTCTCTGAAGCCTGGGGAATGTATTCTTGCTGTTTAAAAAATTCTGACATTGAGATTATTTGGATTATTTTCCTTGGTAATGGAATTATGGACTATGTCATGATGATTTCTGTGAAGAGAGGCCACAGTTACTGGCTATTGCAACAGATAAAGGTCAGTGCTGATGTAATTATAGAGTAATTTATTAATGAGAACTTCATCTTCCTTATGTTCTGTGAGCTTGAACAAATGGAACAGGTTTGCCTCTCATCTTTCAAACTTTGTTTTGAAATATGAAAGAAAAAAAAAAAGCAAAATGGCTCCTGGCTGCTCAACTTGACAAAGTGTTAACATGGCACTTCAGGTTAACCCTTAGAACCCATAAGGACATAAAGCACAGTGAAATATGATGCCCATCTTCCAAACTCTTTATCCCTCTCCCCCCCAACCTGTAGGATGGCTGCTTCTTGGCAGATGGTCCACTCCTCTTCTGTTCAAAGGACCTGACTCCCTCCAAACTCACTAACTTTCCCAAATATCCCACTCTCTAGGGCTTCGTCTACACTGCAGAGTTTTTGTGCAAGAAGCCTTTTGCGGAAGAGTTTTTACACAAAAACTTCTTGTGCAAAAGCATGTCCAGATCTGTACACTTGTGCAAGAGAGCGTCCTTACTGCATGGGCACTCTTGCGCAAGAATGCTCTGATGGCCATTTACAGAATGGCCATCAGAGCACCTGTGCTTTTTCGGATAGGGATTACATGCGCAAAAACCCCTGCTGAGCATCCACACTTGCCTTTTTGCATGACAGCTCTTGCGCAAAAAGGACTTATTCCTCGTGGGGGAGAGGAATAACTGTACCGCCAAAAGCCTTCTCGTCTGCCGATTGACTTGCACAAAAGTGCGCTTGATGTGTGGATGCTCCGCCGGTTTTTGCGGTTTCAAAATTCATTTTGAAATAGCAGTTTGCCTGGGTAGACAAAAATGATTAGGGGGTTGGATCACATGATTTATGAGGCGAGACTGAGGAATTTGGGCTAATATAGTCTACAGAAGAGAAGAATGAGGGGGGATTTGATAGAAGCCCTGAACTACGTGAAGGGGGGGGGTCCAAAGAGGATGGAGAGAAGCTGGTCTCTTTGGTGACAGATGACAGAATGAGGAGCAATGTACTCAAGTTGCAGTGGGGGAGGTCTAGGTTGGATACTAGGGAAAACTATTTCACTGGAGGGTGGTGAAGCACTGGAATGGGTTACCTGGGGAGGGGGATGGAATCTCTATCCTTAGAGGTTTTTAAGACCAGGCTTGACAAAGCTCTGGTTGGGATGATTTAGTTGGGATTAGTCCTGCTTTGAGCAGGGGTTTGGAATTGATGATCTCCTGAGGTCTCTTCCAAATTCCAGCCCTATGAACCGCAGCCTAGTGGAAAGCTCTCTGCTGCAGCACCAGCACCAGGAGCCATCTCTATCTGAGAACCCTCAAGGGAACACCTGGAAAGATTGGGCACCGTCTACCTCATCACTCACAGGGAGAACTGGTGGACTGTGGGGTGTATTAAAGATATTCAGCCAAAAGCTGAGCAAATGCGTTCTTGCATCTGTAAATATAAATGGCTGGGATATGCTAAGGTTGCTCGCCCTACGTTATAGTGGTATACAGGCCGTGATAATATATATTCATGGTTACATTTGGTAACGAGATCTAGACCAGGTATTATTGTAGAGGTGCCAAGTACCCGGGTGACTACTATGGTGGGAGCAGCGTTCAGTTTTGGAATTCCCTGACTTTGGGGAACTCGAAAGCCAACCCGTGGGGGGCTGGAACTAACGCTGGGCTGATGCTTTCACGTCCCCTGGTTTTTAAAGGGGGCAGGAGAGAGGCGCGGGAGGGATGAAAAAGAGGAATCCCCAGAGCTGCGGGGGCTGGAGCACTGCAGGAGCCAGAGAGAAGCCTGTAGAACAGGCAGACACGTTGCTCCCTGCTGGGGCTGGAAGCTCCCGCTTGCCCAGCCCCGGAGGAACATTGAAACCCGGGGCGCTCTCCAGCGCAGCGACTAGGCCAATCAAAGGGCAAGGACCCGCGGTGGCCGCCGAATGACTCAAGAACCAATGACATTCTGGGTCTCTGTAAGCGAGGGATGCAAAGTGCCGGGATTGAGCCAATGAGTTGTTGATGGACGGCTGAGGGGGCGGGATTAAGTAAGGCACCGCCCAATGCGCTCTTGAATGGGGGGGGGGCCAGCC